ACGAAATTTTTTTGTTTTATCTAAATGTATCTGTGTTTCACTTTTATTTTAGAAAGTTTTTTTCACTGAATAATGAACTCCAGGTTCTTCGTGAATTCCTTGTATTCCATTGTTTTCCAGCTTCCATCATTCCTATTGAGAAGTCAGCTTGAGGTAGTCTCATTGCTACACTGAAAGTTTTATGCCCACTGAAAAATCTCTAGTTGCTTAAGAATTTGTACCCTTGGCTTTGGCTTTTAGCGGTTTTCCTGTGACGTGACTGGCTGTGAATTTTTTTTTTTATTTATCATGCTCAGGGCTCACAGTGTTTCTTGAGGCTGTGGCTTGATATTTTTTACTGGTTTTGGAAACTTTCCAAACTATTTTCTCTTCAGATGTTGCTCCTGTTTTTTCTTTCCCATTGGTCCCTCTGGACTCCAATTCCACATCTGATGAACCCCTCAAAGCCTCATGGGTTCCCTAGCCCTATGCTGTATTGCTTTGGTCTGGACAATGTCTTCTGCTATATCTTCCAATTCATTCACTCTCTGTTTAATCATATTAATCTACTATTAATCTAAGTTCTTAATCTCAGCTATTTTCCAAAGAGAGCTTTCTCATTCTATTTTTTGAGTAATATCTAGTCCTCTGACAAAATTTTCTATCTGTGACCCTTTAATGCCTCAAACGTATTAAACTAAGGTCTTTTTGTTTTTTCAGTCAGCCTCTGTTTACTCTGTGATCTGACTCTCCTCTGGGTCTGTTTAGTGTCTGTTGCTTTCAGTCAGGTTTTGTCTCCTTGTATGCCTAGTTAATCCAACGCAGTCCATGGTGTATGAAGAACTGTAGAGATCATTGGAGGCTATGTGGGATGTCATCTCTCTCCATGAACAATTTCTTTTTGCTGCTAGTAGGAGACACTAACAATCACAGACAACCATAACCTAAGGTACTGTAATTAGCTCTGTGCTCTGTTAGGGCTGTTTCTTCCCAGTTCACCCTCACTCCTAGGCTGCTGCACTTTAAGGTTTTCCTCTTAGGAAAATACAGAGGAAAGCCAGCACAGAGGCAGGGGGACGTCTCTTTAGAGGGTGTAGGCTCCATCTCCTCATCTGCAGAGGGAAGTAGGGTTGGGACCAGGCTTGTTGTGCTCTAAAGCAGTGGGGACACCATGAGGGGGGCAAGGATCATCAGGATAGGGTCCCCAGTTCCAGAGGCTGATGGTCACCAGGTTGCAGCCCCTCCCACCCATTTGCTTACTGCATAAATACATGTATTTTGTTGAACTATAATTCACATACCATACAGACTGCTCTTTAGTGCTCAATTCCATGGTTTTTTTAGTATGTTCACAAAGTTGTGCAACTCCCACCAGAATCTAATTCTGCTGGGCTACAGGGCAGACCAGGATGCTTCCTCTTTGACAGGCCCTCAGCCCAGTGTTTGACTCCCATGCCCGTAAATCTGTTGAAAGCCCTTCAGCATGGCCATAGCCAGTTTTAGAAGCCGCAAATGCCCTAAGACAAAAGATGGCCCAGGTGCCGGGCTCCCCTTTCATCGGTCCCACACATTCTGGCACGTGGTAGGTCGCTGGTGCTTTCACGCAGATGTTTTAGGTCTACTTTGTCCAGCTTTTCTAGTTTTCCTTGGGAGGAATATTAGTTTAAAACGACATTGTCCACCATTTTCTAAAAACGGGATTTCCTGGGTTTCTTTTAAATAACTAGTGACTCTGGGGAAATTCTGTTGATAATTACATTCATTAAAGTTGGGTTTATACACAACTCTTTGGAAAGGTATCCATCTCGTGAAGTAAAGCAGGTCTATTTGGAGATGCTTTTTCTTACGGCCTTTAAAAAAACACAAGCTCTCAATGTGTTCCCTGGAAGACACTTAACAAAGATGTGTTGAGTGAAGGAGCCAGTATCTTAGTGGATGGTCCCTGCTTGCAACATCTTCTTGGTCTGATCACAACCAAATTGTCTAAAAATCCAGTGAATGAATGCGCCACCGCCTTCTCCACCCCCGCCTCCCGGGACTCCTGACTACCCACGGTCTATTTTCTATGCAGGTCTTAACAGTGATAACTGCGCACCTCACTTCCCAATGAAAACACAGAACTGGCTTCCCTGTGATCTTAGAAGAAAGTCCACAGTCCTCACCATGGGCCGAGCCCACGCCTCACCCCTCACCCCGTCACACGCTCCTTCCCCTCTTTGTTCCTCAAACCTGCAGAGTTCTTCCCTGCCCGGGCCTCCGCCCCTCTGCCGAGTCCTTCTTGCCTCACTCCCTCACCTCTGAGAGGCCCTTCCGCTTCCTCTGCCGTTGGCCTCTCAGCAGCTCCCCTCCGTAGCAGTCTGTGCATGCATATCGTATTCCCGCAAAGCATTCATCACCGCCGACAGTTTTACCTTATTTACCGGTGTGTTTCGTCTCCCTCACCAACACTTAAGGAGTAGGCACCGTGCGTGTCTGATTGCTCTCACTGCTGTACGTAAGCACAGCACACGATGTCTGGCACATAGCAACTGCTTAGTCACTAATCGTAGAGTGACTATAAAACAATGAAATATTATTCAGCCATGAAAAGGAATGAACCATGAAAACATTAGGTTAACTCTAAAAAGCCAGACACAAAAGGCCACATATTGTATGATTCCATTTACATGAAGTGTTCAGAAGAGGCCAATCCATGGAGACAGGACGTGGATGAATGGTTGCCAGTGTCTGGAGAAGCAGAAGGAGGAGTGACTGCGGACGGGCGGGGATGGATTTGTTTTCGGAATGATGAAAATGTCCTGGAATTCGATGCCGGTGGTAGCTGCACAACTTTGTCAATATACTATTGAAAAAAGGCCACTGAGTTGAGCACTTTAAAGTACAACCTGTATGGGGTGTGAATTACAGTTCAGTAAAATGCATGTATGTATGCAGTAAGCGAGTGTGGGGGAGGGGCCGCGACCTGGTGACCATCAGCCTCTGGAACTGGGGACCCTGCCCCGATGATCCTCGCCCCCCAGCATGGTCCCGACTGCGGAGGAGGAGATGGAGACCGTGCCCTCTAAAGAGACACCCCCCTGCCTCTGCTTGCTCTTCCGTGTTTTCACAAAACATGTCTGCTTTGAGAATCTCGCATTCTTTCAGCAGAAGCTGAACGCTGAAGCACATTCCTAGCAGACACACCCGAGGGCCCCTGCATCCCACCTGGGCTTGTCCTGCCTGGTGGAAGGCCAGATTTGGGGTCTTCCCTGCCAGGCTGCAGAGAGAGGGTGAGGTGGGAGAGGGGTGGAGGGAGAATGCTCCCTGCCTGCTCTGGGGTCCTGGAAATAAGAAGTAGCTTCGGGCTCCTTGCAGACCCTGCGTCCTGAGCATAAGGCCACCCCACACCCTGGGTGTCTGGCACAGTTGGCAAAAGTCCAGCAGGGCATCTGTGTGCCAAGCTGTAGGGACAGCACGGACCCAGCCCCACCCTTGTGGCAGCTGTGATCCCACAGAGGACACAGGCATTAAGCAGACTCACAGCTATTCCAGTGCAGGATAGATGAGGATGCACAGGGCCTCATGACTCAGTCTGCAGGGCCAGGAAGGGGCTTTGGGGAGGAGGAGGTGGCCAGGTGGAGGAGGGGGAAGAACATTCCAGACACAGAACAGATTGTGCAAGATCCCAGGGCTGGCGTGGCGAGAGTCCTTCATCTCACACACACAGGAACAAGCACCTCTGGTCTCTCTGGGACCCCCGCAGGACCGGCAGCCCCATCAGCCAGGGGAGGCGCCGCGCGGGCAGAGGCCACACCATCCCCGGGGCCCAGCAGGGCGGCAGCAGCTCTCCTCTGAGCATGAACGCGGCAGGGCCCTGGGTACCGGAGCTCCCAGGTTCTGGGCATCTCAGGCAGCCACCAGGGTGGAGCAGACACGTGTGCAGAGCCCCGACAGGAACCCCAGAACATGGCGGCCAGAGTCCAGCCCCAGGACTTCCAGGTGGGAGCGTCTACCACGCCAGCGTCAGGAGACAGCAGTTAGGAGCTGAGGGGCAGGGCCGCCACCGGCACAGCGCTAGCACAGTGGGTGCTCAGTAATCAGCGACTGCAGCCCCCCCTCACCTCTGCCCCCAACAGAGGTTCACCCTCACACCTGGGAAGGGCTGGGATGTGCTGATCCAATCCCTCCCCAAGGCAGGAAAGGCTGCGCGGCCAAAGGAAAGCCAAGTGTCCTTCTCAGAAAGTGGGCACTGGGCCCTACAGTGTTCACGACAGACCTCAGCCCCCATGTGCACATGGGGTAACAGGCATAGAGCTGAGGGAGCGCATGGGCAGCTCACCCAGCCCGTTCGGGTCCACCTCGGCTCTGAAATGCAGACGGCCCCCGATCCCATGGCTCACCAGACGCACTCCATCTGCCTGTGTCCCATACACACAGCCTCCCTGCTCAGGGGTCCCTGATTGGTTTGTTTGCCACTGTATGCTCTGCAGGTGTTTATTATACAGCTTCTGTGTGCCCAGACCCATGCCAGGTCCTGCTGCAGTGCCTCTGAGTCCCTCCCTTTAAGCCCAGCCACGCTGGGCCCCGCGCGGGACTGGAGATGCCTTGTGAATGACCAACTGTGGGGGCCTCAGGCTGCCTGGCCCCAGGCCTGGTCTGCTGTCCTGTGCTCTGGAAGCTTAAGAAGTCCTTCCTTCTCTGGGGCCCAGTCTTTCCCCAGCTGAGAAAGGAAGAGGTCAGAGCAGATGACCTCAAAGGAACCTTGAGCTCTAGAAGAAGGTTCTAGAAGCTCGAATACTCAGAGCCCTGCAGCAATCATGCACAGATTCTAGAGCCCCGTGACTCTACAAGGGGGTGATCTCCAATCCTGCATGGCAGAGGTGGCAGGTGCACTAACACCAGCTCTGGGCACAGAGGAAGGGGGCCCCACTACACCAGATTCGCAGACAGCTCTGCCGCCGAGGGGGCTTTGCCCGGGTGTGCACGGGGGCAGCAGCCTGTGTGGCAGGCCGTCTCCATCTGAGCTGCTGTCTCTGTTCCAGGCACCTACGTGATGACCGTCACGGCCAACGATGCTGACGACAGCACCACGGCCAACGGGATGGTGCGGTACCGGATATTGACACAGACCCCGCAGAGCCCGTCCCAGAACATGTTCACCATCAACAGCGAGACCGGAGACATTGTCACGGTGGCGGCTGGCCTGGACCGAGAGGTGAGGCGGGAAGGGGTCTGCATGCCGGCGGTGAGCTCCTGGTTCCCCCAGGACACACACGGGAGCTGCTGGAGGCTCTCCAGTGGCGCAGTCGGGGGTGATCCGAAGCCTCCCCCAGGTCTCTCTCTTTCCATGGGAGATATTTGGCAAAGCAGGCTCCAGAGCTCTCACCACCAGCTGCTACGGGCGAGTCCTTGTGAGATTTCCAGGACAGGCCCTGCTGGCAAGTGCAGCCACGTGTGGAGGGCTCAGAAAAGCAGGGACCGGCCCCTGGGTCTCCAGGTCCAGCCACAGCGGTACTCGGGTGTGGGGTGCTCTGATGGCCCCTCTCAGGACCTAAACACACACGCCTGCCTTGAAACCCACCCCTTCTGGGCCTGGCACCTTAGAGGAGGCCCACCCAACGCACCCCAGGCTGCAGCGGCCTGGCTGTGACAAAGGGGGCACAGAGCAGCAACACCTCACACAGCCCGAAAGCATCACAGCCAAACGTTTGGGCCGCTGGTGGGTGCTGGGTTCCATCCACTGCCCGCTCCTGCACTGTCCTGTGGCTCCACAGGCTTTGTGACAGAGGCCTCCCTCCGCCCCACTGTCTCAGGCGCCCACCCCACTCAGAGACAGACCCCAGAGGGAGGCCCTGGGCAGAGGTGAGGCCGGGGGTCTGCTACTGCTCTGAAACCCGCCAAGTGCAGGGGCCACTCCAGGACTGGGCTGTGTGTCCCTGAAGATTCGCCACCAGCTCCAGGCACCAACAGCACCCCACCAGCGGCACCTTGAGTTCCCAGGCGCCCAGGACAGGGCTTCGCCTCCCTCCTCCCACCCCCAGGCCTCACTGTCTGGCCTGCTTGCACTGTGACCACAGAGGCCAGCATCATTCCAGGTGCAATTTATCCTCTAAGGCGTTTGGCTCCCGGGAGCCATACAGCCACCTCACTGGGCCCAGGGCCAGCAGGGACCTGCCCGCGGGAGGCTCATCACCAGAAGCCGCAGCACCTCTTTCTGGCAGGGCCTCCGTCTTGCTGGCCTCAGCTCTCCTGCTCCGAGTCAGCAGCTTCTGAGTGCGTCACGGCCCTCGAGCTCTGGAGGTGCTGGGTTGTGAGGGTACCCTGCCTCAAGCTGGGGCTGCTAACCTGTCACCGGGACTTGCTGATGACATTTTTGGGGCTGGGGCTGACAAGGAAGTAGCAAGTTCTCCTTCCAGGTTTGGGGCTGTGGGCGCCCCAGTGCCTTCCGTCTCCACGTTGGCTCCAGGAGCCAGGACGCACCTGTGGGGTCTTTATCTCTGCCTTTCAAATTAGAACACAAAGGGGTTTTCTTGGGAATTCCTGAATTGTAACGGGGTGGTGCTCAGGGTAACACATGGGGGCAGAGACGCCACGTGGGAGGTAACTCTCAGCAGCCGTGTGACTTGGGGGAAAGGCCAGGCGGACCCCCGGGTGAGCACAGACAGAGAGCATTGTCAGCCCCAGCTGCGGTGCCTTTCATCTGTGAGATGGGAGGATGATGACAGCCTCGGGCTCCGAGGATCAGAGATGGGGTGAGGGCTGGCACGGTCGGCACAGGCTGGGATTTTCAATGCAGGATTTACACAAACATTCTTAGAGTGGTGTCGGCCAATGGGCAGGGCTCCAGATGAGCTGCGGTCAGTCCCAGCACCTTCACCCCAGGACTGCAGGGTCCATGGAGGCCCTGCCGCCCTCCAGTGGCCATGAACGAGTGCCCACTCCGCTCAGAGAAGGCTCTGCAGAGGAGCTGCCCAGCCCTGGCTCTGCCATTCAGCTGGAGAGGTGATCCCACGGCCATGACCAGGTCAGGAGGGCTGTCAGCGAGGCCCACGCAGATGTGAGGAACCAGACACTGTCCCCCATCTCCTCTGTAGCCTGGGGTCCCCACCTGCCCTGGGGAGAGAGGGCAGCCCCCGTGTGCCCCCTACACACCCGTGAGAAACACGTTTCAACAGGCTGGCACCTCTCCCAGGTGTTTCCACAGCTTTGGCAGAGCAGGAGGTCTGACCGGGGTGCGTGTGTGTAAGCCCTTGCCCACACACTCCATTCACACACACACTCCCACACACTCACACACTCCTGCACACACACACTCCCACACACTGAGACACATTCACACATTTTGCACACACACACTCCCACATTCACACACACTCCCACACACTGACACTCCCTGACAGACACACTGACACACTCCCACACACTCACACTCCTGCACACATACACACTCCTACACACTGACACACACACACTCCTGCACACACACACTCCTACATACTGACACTCCCACACACACACTTCCACACACACACCTGCACACACACACCTACACACTGACACTCCCACACACACTCCTGCACACACACACCTACACACTGACACTCCCACACACTCCACACACACACCCCTACACACTGACACTCCCACACACACACTCCTGCACACAACACATACCCCTACACACTCTCACACACACACCTGCACACACACACACGCCTACACACTGACACTCCCCCACACACACTCCACACACACACACCCCTACACACTGACACTCCCACACACACACTCCTGCACACACCCCTACACACTGACACTCCCACACACATATTCCTGCACACACACACCTACACACTGACACTCCCACACACACACTCCTTCACACACATCTACACACACTCCCACACACACACTCCTGCATACACACACATACCCCTACACAGATTCACACACACACACCTGCACACACACACACCTACACACTGACACTCCCCCACACACACTCCTACACACACACCCCTACACACTGACACTCCCACACACACACTCCTTCACACACATCTACACACACTCCCACACACACACTCCTGCACACACACACACCCCTACACAGACTCCCACACACACACCTGCACACACACACCTACACACTGACACTCCCACACACACTCCACACACACCCCTACACACTCACACACACACACTCCTACACACTGACACTCCCACACACTCACACTCCTGCACACTCTCACACACAATGCTCCAGAGATACAGATGGGATGGGCGGCTGTCGCTGTGTCCAAGGGGAGAGCAGGACGGCAGAGCAAGGGTCAGGCCCATGGGCACCAGCACCTCCGGGATGGCCCCTGGCAGAAGCCGGGCAGGGCTTACCCAGAGCCCATGGGCTGTGCCGTCTGCAAGCCGTCAGCTCCTGGTCTGTAACGGGGAAAGCACAGGGGCAGAAAGCGCAGTGGGGATGCTCAGGGAGTCCCCGTGCGGGCGCATGGCTGCATGAGTGCTGGCCCCGGGAAACCGTCCTCTCCCTGCTTCATATCGGTCACGAAGGAAGAACGTCCAATGGGAGAGGCAGCCGTTCTATTGAGAACCGGGAAGGAGCTCATGCCTTGAGGCACCTTCTCCCTGGGAAGGGAGAGGTGTGGGAGTTTCATGGGGTTGGGTGCCTGCAGGGGAGACGTGCAGGCGCGAGGAGGGTTCCAGCCGCGCAGACGCAGTCCAAGAGCACAGCGCTTCATTCATCACGTGTCCTACATGGCGGCAGTCTTCTCTTAGGACAGGGGTTTCGTATTATAGTGATAAGCTGGGCATGTAAAGGGAACCATAGGCCGCCCGCTCCAACCTGCACGAGTTTCGCGTCCGACCGCACTCCCTCTGGTTTCCGATGGGGGTCGAGGGGCTCCCCGTGGCATCAGGGCCATCTGGTCTCCTTCAGCAGCAGCGCCTGCAGATAAAGAGACATCCGGCTAAAGCTTTCCCGCTGCAGAGGGGCTGGCTGGGAGGGCTGGGGGACTTTGTAATTGATGTTGTAGGAAAGAGTATCTGTTATTTTCCAGGCTGAAAATATATATAGGCCACATCTGTGGATCCACCTTCATAGCTGAAAATCTTATAAGGCCCCGGCAGTCAGTGTGAGTGCCAGCTCTGACCCTGGGAGGCACCAGAGCGCCACAGAGCCCACAACGCCCTGGGGTTCCCCCAGCTGGCCTGGTACACCCCACAAGAGGGACACCCCCTAGCCTGCCTGGGGTGGGCATCCCTGTGGGCATGCCAAGGCCCATGATAGGCAAAGTGCCCAGCCTCCTGGGCTCAGCTCCCCCTCCCCCCACAGATATGGTAGCTAGGCCAAGGGAGGACCGGCAGTCCCAACCACCCAGAGGTCTCCCCACCCACTGGCCAGTCCGCAGTGAGGCCGACCCAGCTGCTGGACCCCTGTCCAGGCCAGACGCTAAGGCGAGGCAAGGCCAGCCTGCCCCCCAGGCCCCCAGCAGACGCAGAGCGGCACCCCCTGCTATTGGCAGCTTCAGTGTGGCCTGCAAAACATTCCAAATAAAATGCTCATTTAAAAGCCATTAGAGGTGTGGTTGACAGACAGAGATTGATGGAGATTGAGGGGCGTGAGGAGGCGCTGGAGGTGCAGACACGGGCGCTCTCCACTCTGTGTGCCTGGGGATGTGAACGGCCGGCCTCCATCCACGGGAGGCCCCGTCTCCTGCGTCTCGGGTGCAGCGTGCTGGAGAGGGTGGTCCTGAGGCTGCCTCCGCCAGGGCTCGTTGGAATGCAGATGCGTGTTTACCTTCCTTGATGATCCTTCAGCTGCTAACATTCGATTCCAAGAAGATGTATTTCTCTCTCCTGGTTCTGTCTCGTGCATGTGAGACAAGCTGGTTGATGCAGTGAAGTCTGGGACCCCCATGTGGATGGGTACTGTTGAGGGACAGCAGAACCGTGGTCCAGGGGCTTGTCACGGGGATGGACTTTGGGGCCATGGCATCTGGAAAGTGCTTGTGGTGCGTCTGTGTGTCACTGTGTGTCACTGTGTGGCAATGTGTCTTTGGCTGGGAGGACCCCTGGCCTTCCTCAGACCCCCAGGCAGGGGATGTGGTATAAACCAAATGAGGCCCAGCCCCAAGCAGGCTGTGACAGGGTCATCACCAGGAACCAGCTAGGCACAGGGGCTCCAGAGGGAGGCCTGCATGG